TCTGACCTTCTGTATTTCTGGTATCCTGGCCAGGCTTGTTTCTGACTTTCTGTATTTCTGGAATCCTGACCTGGCTCGTTTCTGACCTTCTGTATTTCTGGTATCCTGATCCGGCTCGTTTCTGAACTTCTGTATTTCTGGTGTCCTGGCCTGGCTTGTTTCTGACCTTCTGTATTTCTGGTATTCTGGCCTGGCTTGCTTCTGACCTTCTGTATTTCTGGTATCCTGACCTGGCTTGTTTGTGACCTTCTGTATTTCTGGTATCCTGACCTGGCTTGTTTGTGACCTTCTGTATTTCTGGTGTCCTGACCTGGCTCGTTTCTGACCTTCTGTATTTCTGGTATCCTGGCCTGGCTTGTTTCTGACCTTCTGTATTTCTAGTATCCTGACCTGGCTTGTTTCTGACCTTCTGTATTTCTGGTATCCTGACCTGGCTCATTTCTGACCTTCTGTATTTCTAGTATCCTGAACTGGCTTATTTTCGACCTTCTGTATTTCTGGTGTCCTGGCCTGGCTTGTTTCTGACCTTCTGTATTTCTGGTATCCTGATCCGGCTCGTTTCTGAACTTCTGTATTTCTGGTGTCCTGGCCTGGCTTGTTTCTGACCTTCTGTATTTCTGGTATTCTGGCCTGGCTTGCTTCTGACCTTCTGTATTTCTGGTATCCTGACCTGGCTTGTTTGTGACCTTCTGTATTTCTGGTATCCTGACCTGGCTTGTTTGTGACCTTCTGTATTTCTGGTGTCCTGGCCTGGCTTGTTTCTGACCTTCTGTATTTCTGGTATCCTGACCTGGCTTGTTTCTGACCTTCTGTATTTCTGGTATCCTGACCTGGCTTGTTTCTGACCTTCTGTATTTCTGGTATCCTGACCTGGCTTGTTTATGATCTTCTGTATTTCTGGTATCCTGACCTGGCTTGTTTCTGACCTTCTGTATTTCTGGAATCCTGACCTGGCATGTTTCTGACCTTCTGTATTTCTGGTATCCTGACCTGGCTTGTTTATGGCCTTCTGTATTTCTGGTGTCTTGGCCTGGCTTGTTTCTGACCTTCTGTATTTCTGGTATCCTGACCCGGCTTGTTTCTGACCTTCTGTTTTTCTGGTATTCTGACCTGGCTCGTTTCTGACCTTCTGTATTTCTGGTATCCAGACCCGGCTCGTTTCTCACCTTCTGTATTTCTGGTATTCTGACCTGGCTTGTTTCTGACCTTCTGTATTTCTAGTATCTTGACCTGGCTTGTTTCTGACCTTCTGTATTTCTGGTATCCTGACCTGGCTTGTTTCTGACCTTCTGTATTTCTGGTATCCTGACCTGGCTTGTTTCTGACCTTCTGTATTTCTGGTATCCTGACCTTGCTTGTTTCTGACCTTCTGTATTTCTGGAATCCTGACCTGGCATGTTTCTGACCTTCTGTATTTCTGGTATCCTGACCTGGCTTGTTTATGACCTTCTGTATTTCTGGTATCCTGACCCGGCTCGTTTCTCACCTTCTGTGTTTCTGGTATCCTGACCTGGCTTGTTTCTGACCTTCTGTATTTCTGGTATCCTGACCTGGCTTGTTTCTGACCTTCTGTATTTCTGGTATCCTGACCTGGCTCGTTTTTGACCTTCTGTATTTCTGGTATCCTGACCTGGCTTGTTTCTGACCTTCTGTATTTCTGGTATCCTGACCTGGCTTGTTTCTGACCTTCTGTATTTCTGGAATCCTGACCTGGCATGTTTCTGACCTGCTGTATTTCTGGTATCCTGACCTGGCTTGTTTCTGACCTTCTGTATTTTTGGTATCCTGACCTGGCTTGTTTCTGATCTTCTGTATTTCTGGTGTCCTGATCTGGCTTGTTTCTGATCTTCTGTATTTCTGGTGTCCTGATCTGGCTTGTTTCTGACCTTCTGTATTTCTGGTATCCTGACCTGGCTTGTTATTCCGTTTATTCGTACTTCTATATCCCTGACCTTGGCTATTCCTGACTCTGTCTTTATCTGTATTAACTTTACTCTAAGGCCTGGTTATAAGTCTGTCTGGAACCTCTGTTTGTGGAATTTGCCATTCCTGTAAGTTGGGGTACTACCCCCATCGACACTAGAGACCTTTGTTTTACTCTCTTCCCTCTGAACTAAACTTGTTTATGTGTTCATGTCCTTCTAAATCTGAGAGGACATAACTTCCAACAAATCGATGAATAAATTAATGGGGATGGCAAATTATTCACATCAATCCAAGATGGCTGCCTTCATAAGACAAACATTTTGAATGATGGCACATGCTCTTTAAATAGGACAATCTGACAAACTTTATTTTTACAGATCTACATAGAAGCTTTTCTTTCACTGATCTATAATGCTCATACCAACTTCTTGCTAATGACTAAATCACAAGCAAAGTCTGAATAAACAGGGAAATGTCCCTTTTCTATCTGAATTATACAATGTTAAATGTCCAATCTTTGGTCCAAAGTTATGCACCTGATATAGTAATCTAAATGCGTTGAACCAAAAAAAAAATATATAGGGGTAAAATTTTATGGAAACATGGCAGTTTCAAAGAATGAAAAGTCAACGAGATCTGTTCAACTGCTGATGCTAAAAATGAGTAAGTTTGTCTTAGAAAAAATAAATTGGTGAGAGTGGGATTTGACAGGACTGTTTAGGACAGTAAGCACAGTATTAAGGTGTCTGTAAACGCACTGTGGGTAGTTTTTATCATCCAGCTGTGACAGATTTCATCATGATATGAACACCATTGTATGCTGTGGGTAATGTACTGTTCATCCAGAATCCAATCACTATATCGACACGTACATTAGATAGTAATTTGTACTCAGATGGAATAAAAATAAAGGAAGACTCAAAGACATCAAAAACTGATCTTGGCTTACAGAGCCATAACTTGTAAAGGATTGGAGAAAGCCCCGTCTTGGGAGTTTAACAATTTAGAGTCAATTCTTTGTTGAAAAATAAGAAGACAAAAATCTTTTTTCTACTTTTTCAAAAATGAATGAATGAATTTAGATGTGTTAAACAAGCACCACGTCATACAATTCAAGATTTTCCTAGTCTTGACGATAGAAAATATAGATTTTATTAAAGACATGAGGCGAGTATTATGCATTAACTTTCTTTACTTAACTCCAACAGACATTTTTTCAATACAGTTTGGTGAATATAGTAAAACATTGGAGGAATGCAAAGAGGTTGTATTGAAATGCACCGTACAGGGAAAGTAGTCGTTGGAAGATGTTGGGATCCAACATCCAGTCACTGTGATTCACTAGGAAACGGGAATTCCAATCTGCTACTGTATTGGAAAGGCTGGGAGGATATTCTGCTCGTAAAATTATGTTTCAATCGAAACAAAAGTGCCACAAATCTTTGGCAATGTCCGTCAGTTGCAGGGATTTTGAACCTCCTAAGCAATTTATGTATTGGACTGCTGATATGTTGTCCATCTTGAGAAGAATACAACAATGGGATTTTTGTTTCGCAAAGCTGCGTAGAGCGAAAAATCCTGCAATGAGGTCCAGGTAGTTTATATGCATACTTGTCTCTTCTAGAGGCCATTTGCCTCCTGTGGAATTGCCTCCACAACAGGCTCCTCAGCCTACTCAACTCGTGTCGGATCCTATAATCACATCTGGAAGTGAAAATGGATTTCCCATTCCAAATTTGAATGTGATCTAACCACCAGAATAGTTCTGATCTTGTCTGAATAAAAGAGACCGATAATGAAGGGGGGCCGGAAAAATCGCTTGAATCGAGGCTGATAAAAGACCTACAATCCTTGCCAGAGATTTGAGGGAAATTAATTTCTTGTTCAGAACTGACCTGATCTCTTTTCGAATCGTTTTCAATTTCCTTGATGGAAGACTGAGAGTAGCTAAATTGGAATTCACTAGAAATACCCAAAATTCTATCTCCCGTGAGTTAGTTAAAATCGATTTCTCGTAACTTATTACAAAGCCAGGGCTTGTTAACAGATTCAATGTCCTTTGAGAATGTTGTTGAAGAGTTTGCACACTCTGTGACATAATGAATATGTCGTGTAGATAGATTATCATTCTCACTCCTGCTTCGAAGCAGGGATACTACAGGTTTGAGCAATTTGGTGAAACACCAAGGTGCAGAGGATAATCCAAATGGCAATGATTTGACTTGCCATTTCTTCCCTTCCCATATGAATTGTAAATAATTCTAGCATGAATGGTGAATAGGTACCGTGAGGTATGCATCCTTCAAATTTATTTAGATCAACCAGTCGTTGAGTATCAATATGAGATAATAAATTCCCTTCATTTTGAAATGGTGGTATCTGACAAAATTGTTTAAATATTTTAAATTTATGACTGGTCTGTGACAAGAAACTTTCTTTTTCACCAAGAATACATTGCTCATGAAGCCCGGACTGCTCATGGGCACCTGGATGATGGCATTTTTTTTAGCATAAATTTAATATTTCTTGATGGACCAAAGCTGGCCCTTGAATCGAAAATGTTATCAGGAAAGGTATATTTCTTTGAAAAGGACATGATATAAAATCTATTTTGTATCCCAGAACAGTGTCTAGTATCCAAGAATCATTTGTAATCTGATTCCAAACGTGGAAATAACATATGAGTCTGCCCCTTAACCCTTCTAGGGAAGAAAGGGGAATTGTCGTACTTACCGGATGAAGATCTGAAGCAAGACATTCCCAATGGCCTCTTGATCTCCAAGGTCTGCCACGTAGTGGGAAGAATGGAGTTGTTTGTTGGGTGTCATATGAGGGCCTGGTGGGCCGAAAGTTGTTCCTTGGAACCTGTTTATGTTGAAAGGAGTGACTGGAAGAGCTTTTCCTTCCTCTTCCAGCCCTTCCAAAACCTTAGGGATAAATATTTTCCTCAGAGATGACTGAGCCTTATCAATGGAGCTAAAGAAATTGACATATTTATTAATGTCTTTAATAAAGGATTCTCCAAATAGGAGACCTTCAGCCGCTGGTCCAGGTTCAGAAGTGGCTAAATTTGACTACTGAGGGTCAATTTTCATTAAAATAGACCTGCGGCATTCGCTGGTCGAAGCTGCGTTAGCATTCCCCAAAAAGCATGCAATGCAACCTCTCAAAATATCAATGCTGGGAGGAATTCCAGAAACTGCAGTTTGTTGTAAAGTATCGGACATTTTTGCCACAGGACCAGATATGTCCATTAATTTATCTTGACAAGATTTTAGTGATCTGTCAAGTCCTTTACTTCGGTTCTTCCCTGATTTTGTTAAAAATTGCACAATAGTGGGATCTAGATCCGGGGTCTGTGCGACTTTCTTAGACAAAGTCGGTCTAGGGTATTCAGCACTTAGCTTATTTCTAGCCACTTGGTCAAGGGGTTTCCTCAACCAGCATTCAAGATATTTGGCTACATGAGCCATAGGGACCCATTCAGCTGACCTAGGGTGCTCGATATGGTCTGGGTCAAATAATGGTTTTACATTAACATCCATTATAATATTCTCTTCATCAGATTTTGAGAGAAGCTCAGGTGCTTCTGAAACAGATAAATAATTTGAGGCAGAATCAGATTCAGATTTTTCATCTTCTGAGTTTGAAGAGGAGTCCTCATTCGAGGAGGTTTTATAGGAGTCAGGTTTGCTCCTGTGAATGGCCTTCAGAGCTTGTCTGTCTTCCTCATGAGCAGATGATCTTTTGAGTGATTGATTGCACTCTTCAGTTTTGTGTGAGACCTGCATTCTGTTCTGTTCAAGGTCCTTCCCCATCTTTTGTCACTTAGAACAGCCAGGGGATTCTAAAGTACCGTCAAAGCAGTGTTTGCTTTTCTGGGTGGTCTTCCCAGACCTCCTGAATCCCTGAGCTAATTTCCATTCTGACTCCACAGGTGACCAGAATTGGTCTGAAGGAGTATTAATTAAGTAAGTCTTATCACTAGGTTTTGAATTGCTTATGGCCTGAGCCGCAGACTTTGCAATTTTTTCTTGCATTGAAGACATTGCAATATAAATTGCAGATGAAATTGATTTGTGAACAGATAAGTCTACAATATTTTGCAAAGAATCCTCAGTGAGGATTTCACAGTCATGAGTAGCACCAGGTTTTGGTGACTGAGAAGGAGCTTGTCTAATTTCTTTAGAATTAATCGTTCAATATTGCAACAAATTGTAATTTGTAATTACTATTAGTAAATAGTAAAATAGTTGCAAAAGATTAGGTAAAATCCTGACAGGAAAGTCATATAATTTCAAACTTATAATAATTACCAACAAAGAGTAACAAAGCTGGGGAGAAACGCTGTGCTGAGGTAAAGTGGGTGGGAAAGCTAGCTGAAAACCAACTAACTGGAATTCCCTCCCATAATAACGTCATCAGTCTATGAAGGACTAACTGAAATCGCGCAGGCAGCGATTCGCATGAAAAACTGTCAAAATAAACTTAACAGTGAAATACACGTTCGTACACAAAATCTGCAAACGCGAGTATAATAAACTAATACAAAAAAAACGAATGGCCGCGATTCACATTAAAAACTGCAGAAATAAACTGAACAGTCAAATACACGCTCGTACAAAAAACCCGCGAACGGAAGTATAATAAATTAATACAAAAAAATCGAATGGCTGTGATTCACAAGAAAACTACCAAACGGGAGTCATTTGAAATAACTGAAAAGTAACAATTCGTATGAAAACTACCAAACGTGGATGAACCGCAAACTCACTTTGGATGAAAAGGCGCGAATGCCAGTGTGTATGAAACAAATATATATATATATTATTTTTAAAATAATGAGAAAAAGAAATACAATTACTTCAGAAAATACAAAATAAAGGAATAAATATATATATACACAAATATATTTAACCAAACCAGAAGGTATTCATATAGAAAGCAGTAGCATAAGTGAATATATATGATATTTATCTCTACTGGAGCAGAAAAGAAAGAGGAAGAATATTGGGGATCATTCACTATATATTATAGACTAGGCCGGATGCTGATTGGCTACCGAGTGTTCCATTTCAGTTACTTTGTTTTTTGTCTTTTATTCACTAAACTTTCTTGAAAAAATGTCTTTGCTGCTGGAGTTCAGTAAAGAAAGTTAATGCATAATACGAGCCTCCTGTCTTGCTGTAAAATTACCAGATTTTACTATTTACATGACGTAAAGTCATGATTTTATTAACGACACAGAGGCGAGTATTATGCTCCACTCTTTCTTTATTTCCCTCAGCAGCAAAGAAAAAAACTTTAACAATGAAATGAACACAGAAAACAGTCATTAACACATATCTTCCCTGGCAACCAACAGCCAGTCAGGTTCCACTCTCCAGCATAATAGGCGGTATTCCCTGAACAATTTCCTCTTTCTTGCGATCCCGAACTTCTACCGCCATCCAAACGAAACAGGAATTCCAATAAGGGAATGATGCCATCAGTGGATGAGCTTCCAATTCAAGCTGTAAGAGAGAGTAGAATAAGGTAATATCCAAGTATAAAACTGAATTCATGCATAAATAACGCATTATAGGTGACTAGGCAATATCTAATGTAACTAGTATTTAGTCAACATGTATGGGTGAATACAAACATGAAAAGTTAAACCAAATCACCTTTCCAGTGAGCAAATCTGAACCAAAGAAACTTACCGTAAATAACTTACCCAGGTGAACCACCATCCAGGGAAGGGTGGGAGGGATAATACTCCCCTCCACGTCGTTAATAAAATCATGACTTTACCTCATGTGAATAGTAAAATCTGATAATTTTATTAAGACACGGAGGCTCCTATTATGCTGGTTTAAAACTGTGATTTAACTGTTCCAGCAAAGTGTTCGATCCGTTTGAAGTAAAAATCACGAAAGGTGGATTCCGAAGACCAATCGGCAGCTCGTAAAATATCTTCTAGTCGGCATCCTACTGCAGAGGTTTTAGAGGCCATAGCTCCTCGAACAGAATGTGGAGAGAACACAGAAGTGTCAATGCCTGCCAATGTCATAATCCATTTGACCCATCTGGCCAGGAAAGGAGAGGATACTGGAAGATGTGGTTTGCGGACAGAGATAAATAACTGAGGTCTCATAGGGTTCCGGAGCGGAGCCGTACGGAGTTCATATTCCCGTAGGCATTCTGCGGAAATGCCGGGTTTAGTACAGACTTAGAAGATGTTTTGGTCCTTCTAGAGATATCGAAAAGAACGCCTTCCGGGGTAAAGGATCAAGCGTCTGTGTCCAAAGCTCGTACGTCCGAAACTCTTTTGCATGAGATGAGGCAGAAAAGCATGACTAGTTTGGCTGACAGTTGTTTGAGTGATAATGAAGAATTTTCCAGCCATGACATTAGAAAATGGAGGACAAGAGAAACATCCTAGAGTGTAGAGTAATGAGGGAGCGGTGGACAAGAAAATCGTACTCAGCGTAAAAAAGGTTAACACAATAGAACATATAAAGTACGTGTGAGCACATAGAACGTATAAAGTAGAACGTGTGAGCACATAGAACGTATAAAGACGTGTGAGCATGTAATCATGCGTAATGTTTTGGACTACATGTCCCATAATCCTCTTGAAGCCATAACACTGGCAAAGCATCGTGGGAGATGCAGTCTACAACATGTGGAGTGCCGAAGGTTGCCTACCCCAGCTCTAATCTGTTGCCATAGAGACTATGTAGCTTAAACACAAATAATGGATCCGTGGTGTCCATTTGGTTCCTTATTATTTAATGGTAATATTTTTATACTAAGTAATGTTTTCTATTACCATAAATCAATATGTGATTTTGTAATTTGTTTCCATATTGTATCAGCTGTGCACACTATTCATGGATTTCCTCTAATTTAGTCTATTGAGACATTCGTGAAATACTGTAGCTGAATTAGAAAAACTGGCAACTTAGAAGAAAAAATCCCTCTGGCAACTTTTGTGAACAAGTCAGTATGTCAGAGTGTGTTCTTTTTTTCTATCTCTCTATATAAACTAAGGATTGGGCATATCAGACAGAGAATAGCTGAGACTCTGTGAGCACGATGCATAGATCGATAGAGTAAATAAAAGGAGTTAGCTACACCGATCTTATGACATCTACTTGTACATTTTAATTATAGTGGTTGATTTTTGTGTGAGTTCGTGGGGTGGTGTAACCAGAGCCAGATTAAGATTGCACATTGCCCTTGGTAGGAGCCAGATCGGTGCCCCCTTCTGTTCTGTTATTGTTGTGTGTGGTGCGTGTGATGTATGTATGTGGGGGGAGACTGATTGTTGTAAGTGTGGTGTCTGAGTGTTGTGTGTGTGTGTGTGTGTGTGTGTGTAAAGGAATCTACGAAGTTTATTAAGGAAGGCTGAGTGTACCTGTCTGTGCTGGTTTAGTGCTGTGTGTTTGTGGATGGGAGTCTGAATGTGGCTAAGGGTTGTGTGTTTGGGAGAGTAGGCGTTGTGTGAGAATGTTTGGAGATTTGGTTGTATATTTGTCACCCCTTGCTTACCATGTTGAGGGGAGATGGTCAATTTACAAAAAGAACTAGAAGTAGTGGCGTAGCCTAGTGGCACAGTCATGGTATTGCAAGTCATTTTTCAGAATAAGAAAACAGATGATTAAATAATCTTTATCCTGAATTTTACCCTGTGTCTGGGGGTTAGATAATGCGAGAAAAATACCATGATATAGATAAAACAAAATGTCTATAATTTACAATTCCAGATATAGTTACTGTATGAATCCTAAGATTTTCCTTTTCTAAAAAAATATTATTTGCAAAGTGCCAACATGTGCTGAAGTGCTGATCAATGGGCTGGTGAGACCAACAAATTCAACAGGGAGTGTGACTTACATAAACAAGACGCGGTAAAGTCCCAGCTCAAGCAAGCTTACAATCTAATGGTGTAAGATTACACGAACAGTAAATAACTGTTTATAATAAACTATAATAAATGTAATAAACTATTTCAAACACGACTTTCTTCTCAGAAAAACTTGCAATCCCCATCAGACGGCAGAATCTCCTCCAAACAATTTGCAATCTATATCAAACCTCATACCCTTAATGCAGCTGGTTAATCTCTGAAATATCTGGAGAATTATTTTCCTGGAAGGGAATCTTCATCCCTTATGTGACAATCTGCATTTAAACCAAGCGCTTGTGGCATTAAAGCTTTCTTTATTCGACTATTTCATTTAGAATAGATCGATGTTAGTGATCGGTACCATTAGTATTTTTTCTTATATTGTTTTATTTGCACTTTTTTTTTTCAAGAGTACTTGGATTGCTCTAGAAAATCGACAATATTTTGCTTGGAAGTTCGCCACGGGCTCCTGGAGGAGTGAGGAGGCTAGCCTCCTGCCCATTGACTATGGACAATAGAAAAGGCTGGTAAAAATACTTGGTTCATGGGATCTATTTGTACTGTTCGGGAACCGAACAAACTCACGAACTGCAGACCATCTCAGGGCTTGTTAACCCCTGGTAACCACTCCTGACACTTCAATTATCATGTGTTCTAATTATGCTTAGTGGCCACCATTCGTATGCATGAACACGGGGGAACTGGGTTGACGGCCATCTTGTTCGTGGGAATGCAGGGTCGATCACATAGAACTAAAATCAGGCACGAAAACGCCCAAACACTGCTGAACTTTGTCGAACGCCTGCTTCCTTCCCACACATGTCAGGAGAGCGTCGTTTGGTAGGTTTGTTCGTATGAACCATACGAACAAAGGCTACTAAATAGCCAGAATGTGCG